ATGTGTGTGGAAAGTGGGAAAAAAGGGTTGGGGCGGCGTCAGGTCAGCCACTCGAAGGGAGCACAGTCCCTGACAGAGTGAGAGAGAGAGGGCGATGGTAAACCCTCACCTACCCCCAAATCACAGGATACTCTCAACACAGAGACCATACATTCCCTCATCTGGTCAGAGAGCCAGCACTGAGGGAGCGCTGTACTGTCAGAGGGTCAGCGCCGAGGGAGCGGGCGCTGTCGGAGGGTCAGCGCCGAGGGAGCGGGCGCTGTCAGATGGTGAGGGAGCGGGGCGCTGTCGGAGGGTCAGCGCTGAGGGAGCGCCGCACTGTCGGAGGGTCAGCGCCGTGGGAACAGGTACTGTCGGATGGTCAGCGCAGCAGGGAGCAGCACGTGGAGGATGGTTGCGAAAGAGAGAGAGAGAGAGAGAGAAAGGTAAGAAAGCAGACAGGTGAAATGAAATCAGTTTCCGAGTTGGTCTGTGACCGGCAAACCTCAGGGCAACACAGGCTTCAGAGCACAACAAGGTTAGAGCAGGTTTGAGGGAGGCAGTGGGCAGGGATATGGGTGCAGGGGACGAAGCAGGGAGGGGTGGCAGGGAGAGGTGTAGGAGGAAGGAGACAGGTACCTGATTGTGCCAACGCATCACCTGGAAATTGGCGCGGAGGCAGCAAAGGGGACGGAGCAGGGAAGGTAGGAGAACAACGACAGCAGGCGAATATGAAAAGGGAAAACAAAAGAGAGGAGAGTGCGAGGTTAGAAGGAGGCTCCCACCGCAGCAGGCTAGTGCACTGCGAACCGAATAACCCCAGAGAACAGGCTGTTGCTAGTGACAGGAGCAGACATATGGCTTTGGGAAACTGAGGATGTGGGGCTGAGGATTGTCAGCTGGGTGGTGTACACTCAATGGGCCGAATGGCTGAATACTGCCCCTAAGGCTTCGTCAGGGCTCCCCCACCAACCATGTCGTCCTCCTCCTCCATCCCGCTACTCCCCCTCCCTATCTCCGTCACCCCCTCCATCCCCCTACACCCGCTCCCTATCTCCGTCACCCCCTCCATCCCCCTACACCCCCTCCCTATCTCCGTCACACCCTCCCTATCTCCGTCATCCCCTCCATCCCCCTACACCCCCTCCCTATCTCCTTCACCCCCTCCATCCCCCTACACCCCCTCCCTATCTCCTTCACCCCCTCCATCCCCCTACACCCCCTCC